GGCTCTTGGCGGGTCCGGCCAGAAACTGGTTTTCCACCGCCGGTTTCGTTTTCTGTGAAAAGCCAGTTTTTCTTTGGGCTTTTCTTTCACCAGAATTCAACAGCTAGGCGAGCGTCGTGATCGACACTAACCCAGAGAATGAATGGACAAAAACTCATTCTGCATGTCAGAGTCCTCCTAGTCCTCCTTGGACCCAGAAGCGGGTCAGCACAAACCCTGAAATCATTTGCGAACCTCCTGCTTGGAGTTGGCCCGACTGAGACTTTGCGAAGGCCAACGCCGAAACCCGCTTATGGCAAAAACCGACAGTGTCTCTAGGTTGCGACGCGTATTGTAGTGGGTTATTGCCTCATGTTGCCTCTGATGTTACACCTTGACCTGTTGCAGTCGAGGATTCATTGCTTTGGATCCGTGCACGTGCAGGGTCCTCGGATTGCCTTCTGGCCGATGTGTTTGCTCCAGCTGTATGTGCACATAGCTTGCAACAAAGCTCTTGAGAATGATACGGGCAAGCAGCAGCAACACCAGCAACGGCAACATCAGCATCAGTGAAGAGATAGCTCCTACGATGACACCCCTACGCCTACTGGTATCTACTGCTAAGGCTGCTACTCCTGCTGCTACGGCTGCGACGACTACCACGCTTACTTACCACGTCTACCAAGACCACGGTTGCACTTTTGTTTGTCGTATTGTTGCTGTTCAGCAACACCCTCGGCACCCCATTGAACCTCGCCAGGTCGTTCTCCAAATATCCTGCATGTTTAGGTTTAGGACATATACGTATAGTTTGTCCAGTCGGACCTCGTTTCGGGCTTCGAATTAGTAGCTCTGACACTGTCAGGAGGTCTCCTCTTGACCTTGTGTTTCTTTTGCTTTTGTCTGCGTGGAAAAGTTGAGCATTGTTTGGCGAATAAGCTTGGCAACACTTCTCGGGCACGGCATGCACAGAGCAATGAACTGAAGTCGTCAATTGTAGGGTCGTTTCGCTTGAGAAGGTCGGTAACTTGGTGCATTCTGTGAACTTGAAGAGTGTTTCAATGATTGTCATGTAATTAGTCATAGCTCAGGTGCACAACAGCCGGAAGCAGGGCAACAAGCTTTGCTTCTTGACGCTGCGTCAGGTGCGAGTTACTAACTGGTTGTCAGAGCGGCGAAGGTTCCATAGCCCGGCTGGCAAGAGCTGTGTCGGAAGAGAGCTGACTTATGAAGAGCCTCCGTTTACTAAGTAAGTATCGGCAGGACGTGGCGACGGTCCAGGCTGTCATCTTCGGGCAGGACTTGTGGGAATGACGAAATATTACACAGCACACGGAAGCACGTCGCAACTCGAAGACCACCCGCACTTCGCACACACACACACACACACAAACACACGCGATGACTGACACTGTGCCATGAATTGGCAGGTAGCGCAGCGCAAGTGTTCCAACCCGTTCATCGTGTGCCTTCAGATTCACTCGAGTGGTCTGGTGAAGGAGATGGCCGGCTTTGCTGGTAATTTGCCGGACGAGTCCGTTGTCGATGTCTATGGCAAGGCCCGCCACTGTCTGTCGCTGAACTTGATTGCTGAGTGGTTCCGCCGCTGACATTGCGCAATGTCAAGACTAGCAAGAATCACATGGCAGTTCGAACCATGTATTTTGAAAGGATTGTGGAAAGCTGCTTGCGACCGTTTGCGTGGCGGGCAGCTGAAGGGTAGCCATCGGACGTTCCCAGCTTGGAGCCGTGATGTCCGAAACGAAGCTTCGCCCACAGCATATTGGTATTTTCGCTTCATGTTTTTGCAAATTGGGAAGACCGCGAAGGTCTGCGAGGCTCAGCCACTGACAAGCTCTCTGTCAGTGTGACCGTGCGACCCAGCATTTTCATGCACATGTGCAGAGACATGGCCCGGAAGGTAGCTTGCCCCGACGCACCGATTACTTCCTGCACGGTGCAAAATGTCGTGTTGACCTCAGCATGACAGGGCTGACAAACATGCATTTTTAGGTACAGTCGAGACAAGTTTTTTGTTTTTGCAGTTGCTGTGGCACCACCTGGGTCTAAGTGTTCTGGGACCGTCTGACCCTTTGGCATCCTTTGGCGAATTGAGATCTTCAGCAAGCATTCTCTGCCTTCACAAGGTGTGCATGTCTGCAAAACGGTGAACTTTGGGCAAAGCACAGCGTCGCACCAAAGAAGCCACCGCCCTGGGATTGGAACTCCAGGAGCTGGCTGTGGAACGCGTTTTCTGCATTGGGAGGTCTCAGGCCCGGCCTCCTTTTGTTTCAGTTCCACGCAGTCCGAACGGATTGAAGCAATAGATATTTAGCTGATGCTTTCAGATAGAGGATAAAGATAATGGATTTTGAGGACGGAAGCTGCGATGCTTTCCCCTGCTGTCAGGCCTTGCCCTTGCAGCTGGCAGATGCCTCCAGGAGTGAGGTGCGCTGTGGTGCTGGTGCTGGTGGTGGTGGTGGTGGTGGTGGTGCTGCTGCTGCTGCTGCCGCTGCCGCTGCCGCAGCCGCTTCCGCTGCGGCAGCCGCTGCTGTTGCTGCTGCCGGGGTTTGTTGGTGTTGTTGTTGTTGTTGTTGTTGTTGTTGTTGTTGTTGTTGTGGTTGTGGTTGTTGGTTGTTGGTTGTTGGTTGTTGGTTGTTGGTTGTTGGTTGCTGGTTGTTGGTTGTTGGTTGTTGGTTGTTGGTTGTTGGTTGTTGGTTGTTGGTTGTTGTTTGCTGTTTGCTGTTTGCTGTTTGCTGTTTGTTGTTTGTTGTTTGTTGTTTGTTGTTTGTTGTTTGCTGGT